TTATAAAGTTTCAAGCAGATTTAGATTTGTTGTAACAGGAAAAATCTTCAGAGCTGTTGAATAATCTAGCTGAAGCATCAAATAATAAGGGACACTTTCTATGAACTGTAGGGGTGTAACGATATTCGATACACCAACCACGATACGTATCGCTGTACTCTTTGTAGAATATGGTTTGTTGAAAATAACACATAAAACAAACACATAAAGCTTCCCACATTACACCAGCAATGATCAAAAAACTTGGACAAACAACACGGAATACCGTATGCACACTAGTATACCAGTCATTTTCGCATTCGTCACCCGGGTGTTGAAAGTGTACGAGTGCAGGTGAGACATGAACGGCACACATTATCTGTGTTTAAATTAAACTCATTTGCGCGTGTTTTTAAGCCTTGTCAATTAAAACATTCAAACAAAGAAGAGGTGCTTGAGAACTTGCGCGCGCTGTATGAAGGTGTGTGTGTGTGTGTGTGTGTGTGTGAGTGAGTGAGAGTGAGTGTGCGCGCACGCATCTGTAGCACGTGCACACACGGAGAGCCTCGTCAGACGGCACATGCCGCAAAAATATTGATTTCCATTTCAATACTTGTGTTTGTGAGTATCCTTGCAAACATCGTTGGTCATGTCTTAAGTGAACGTTAACAGTCGAGAAAGACAACATGTGTATCAGTATCAGTCTACTGGATCTGCTAATTATGTCTTAAAGGAACAGAAGTCTATTCCTGCTGTCTGTGTTTTTAATGTTAAACAACAAAAGACAAAAAACTCGCTTTGTAACTTTAACAAGGTTTGGTCTTTAATTTATATAGTGAAATATGCTCTGTTATTTTGCATCTCTTTACTTTTAAATTTATGGGCCTGAAAATTACTGTTAAACACCTGAAAAACACTTTATTTTATTTGTATTTTCGCTCTACTGTATTCATTTATGCTGTTGCATTTAGTTTGATTATTTGATATTATTTACTTTTTTTTATATCATAGTCCTTTTTTCCCTGAACATAGCACATACCGTACCGAACCGCGACCAATCTGAACCGTTACACCCTAATGAACTGGGTACTTTTGTTTTCAATAACATTTATTAGATTATTGTGTAGTTGATCAAGTATATTTAATAGTTCTCACATGGGTTCCCTTCCGAGGGAACTTTGAATTGTATCCTCTAGGGGTCGCTATGGAGGAATGCCTTCAGCTTGACCGGCGACAGCCTATGACGTCATTACCCGGCGTGACACAGTATAAAAGGCGCCGAGAGAACACGTCATCCTCTTCTTTGTCTTCACGACTGTTTTGTTTGAAGCGTGCATTCCGGTGAGAACATATCTTTCCTCCTTAACCATGTCAAGCACTAGTAAGGCGTGCCCCGGCCAGGACGCCCTGCTCATGTCTCGCCCTGAGGGGTCTCCTGAGATTTGTGTCATCCTCACAACCATCATGCACATTCTCTGAACTAGAGCTCCTCTCGCTGAGGCTTTGAGTGGCCTAACACTCCTTAGTTCCACTCTGAAGTTCGATAGTCAGTCAGGCCCACGGGACCTCCCTGTCACACTGTCCTTAAGGTCGAACCGTTGAATCGCCCCACTGCGTTCCCTGAGGTAAGAGTGAGAAGTGTTTCTGCAGAAACCCTTCTTGAGTGCTTTGGCTCTGAGGAGCAGTAGAGCCAAAGAGCGCTGCTCCCGAGAACTCCATATGCAAAAATACAGAGTTGTTAGGCCCGTCCCTGTCGCCTCCTTGGTCAGTTGCCTCTATGCTGGGACCCTATTGTTCCCTGTTGAAATGTGCGATCCCCTTTTAAGCTGGATCCCATTTCTGATGTACCATTTGCTGTCAATCTGCTCCCCAGACATGGCCGTGCTCCCCTCACTGCGGGAGGGTCTTTTATGAGCTCGCTGGTCCTGGGCAGATTATATGAGTCCTTCTCTCTACCCGAGAGCTAGGTACTTTGCCCGTGGGCTATTGATCGCTTCAGTTGGGCTGGGTTTCTCTCCCTTAGCTAAGGGTCGAGCCCTTCACTCTTTGAGCTCTGTGACAGCGACATCAGGTAGTTTGGCCGCTTGCTGCCTCCCTGATTGGTTGCCCCTATTTGGTCGAGCCTAGCAGTGCTCACCTCACCCTGGAGGGTTACCTTTGAGTATGCCGCTCATAATTGAGCATCTGAGGTCTCCTCTCACCAGGTCCTCCGATCCTTGGAGTTCCACTAAGTAGTAACCTCAGGTTGTTAGGCCTCTCTCTGCCTCCCTGTTAGGCTGCTCTCTTTGTTGGTGAGTTTAGCCGTGCTCCCCTTACTTTAGAGGGTTTCCTTTGAGCACGCCGCTCCTAATTGAGGCTGCGTTTACACTGGCACAAAAAATCTGATCTTTCGGTCACATCTGACACGGATCGGAATTTGTTGCACACGTGTAAACACAAAAACCTGCACGAGATCAGATTTTTTTGCATCCGATCTGAGCCACTTCCAAATGTGGATTTTAATCGGATACACATCTGATATCTGGACATCCGACCTATGTCTAAACATGCATATCCGATTCTCCACAGAACTCCCAATGCAAGGGCGACATGTTTGCTCATAAAGATTTTTAATGGTGTTTTAATGTCGGCATGCTGTATGCGCTCGCATTTTACTGAGATGGAAACTTTTTATAGGTAAGAAATTGCACATTCAGGAGCTGGTTTTCAACCCCCGCCCCGTGAATTTTGAAAATGCAACAATTAAAAGCTACATATACTGTATTTCTCAGCAATGAGGTGATAACTTAGCTGTTTTTGTAATTAAACCGACAAGCTTGTTTGCAATGCTTCACAATCACTCACTCGCACGTGGGTGCATGCGTTTATTCGTTTGCTCTCTCTCTCTCTCTCTCTCCCTAATTCAAATTAATTTAAATAAATATCATCTTTATTTCACTAAAGAATTCTACCTCTAATGAGCTGTAGATAAAATAGTCTAACAAATTTAAATTACCGTTATTTTCCGGTCTTTATACGTTCAGTAAGATTTTGTGCTGCAAAACATCCATGACAGCCGTTGTCCATGCTGGCAAATAATAATGGCCATTCGACGTGAATTATATAAATAATTTTAACGGCCATTTAAAACCCGAGGGTCTACCATGTGCATAGTAAAGCGATCACTGCAGACAATCCTTTAGGGTGGGAATAAATGTAAGCACAGATATCGGATACCAGTCGTGTCTATAGTGAATGTAAACAGACGTGCCAAAAAATCGGATATGGTCAAAAGATCGGATCTGTGCATTAAGACTTGCAGTGTAAACGCAGCCAGAGTGTCCTCCGCACCTTGGAGTTCCATTGAGTAGCAGCCTCAGGTTGTTAGGCCTCTCTCTGCCTCCCTGTTAGGCTGCTCTCTTTGTTGGTGAGTTTAACAGTGCTCCCCTCACTTTAGAGGGTCACCTATGAGCAAGCTGCTCCCAGATTGAGCATCTGAGTCCCCCTCCTATTTTGGAGTTGGGCCTCCGCTCCTTTGAGCTTCGATTAACAGTCATGACAGGTTGCTGGGCCATCTCCTGCCTCCCTGGCGGGTTGCTTGTTGAGTGAGCTAGCTGTGCTCCCCTCACCTTGGGGGTCTCTTGCAAGCACACCACTCACTTCTGAGCATCTGAGTTCCTCTCATTTGAGAGTCGAATCCTTCACTCTGTGGCTTCATTGGGTAGCACATCAGGACTCTTCTTTCCTCTTTGGCTACTCTCTCGGTGAGCTCAGCAGTGCTCCCCTCATCCTGGAGGGTTATTTACGAGCACGCTGGTTCCCAGTTGGGCACTGGTGTCCCCCTCTCGGTCTGAGAGCTGGGTGCCACGCCCCTTCTAGCTATGCATGAGTTGATGCTCCGGAGTCTGTCTGTGACTGTTATGGTTGAGTTGGCAATTCTCCCCTCTCATATAGGGTTTTTCTATGAGATACACCTTTCAATCCACATGCACTCTGAGCACGCAGCCTTCCGCTGAGTTAATTACCACTCCCTGGGTGTGCCACAGTCACGAAGGGTTCCCAGGCCTGTCTAAGTGACAGTTTTGGTTATGCCTTAGTAACGGTATTTCTAAATCCACCTTGTTTTCACCTTGGGCTCCACTCAATCCATGTATCCCTGTTGATACATTTCTGAGCAGGGTGTTGCTACCAAAGATCTGTCGAGTCAGTTCTTTGAACAAGCTCATTCAGAGCTGGTAGTAGCCCCCTGGGTGACAGGCCAGGGTCTGTTTTTTTAGACACCTGGCCGTATCCTCTGAAAGGAATCTCTTTTTTCTGATTCCAAGCCTTTGAGCTCTGCCCTAGGCTCGGGCTCCTCAGCCCAGCCCTTATCAGGTAAGTTGTTTAGGGTATGCAACTCAGGCCCTTGGCCGGTGGGGATAATGTCACTGACAGCCGTCAAGGCTTCCTAGGGGCAACTCCCATGGCTATGGTAGAGTTGTTACTTGGTGCACTCCCCTCAGCATGACAGTGTGGGTATACCGTTCCCCATAGCAACCCTTAGAGGACTAAGTTTAATGTTCCCTCGGAAGGGAACGTCTCAGCTTACGTATGTAACCATGGTTCCCTGAGAAGGGAACGAGACACTGTGTCCTCTAGTTCCCTTACCATGCTTTGGACGTAAGCTTCAGACGAAGAAGTAGATGATGTGTTCTCTCGATGCCCTTTTATGCTGTGTTGCGCCGGGTAATGATGTCATAGGCTGTGCCGGCCAATGATATTGTCGTTTTTAGATGTTTGCTTCAGACACCGGTCACACTGAATGTGTTCCCCCATAACGACACCTAGAGGACGCAGTGTCTCCTTCCCTTCTCAGGGAACCATAGTTACATAAACGATTTGTGCCTATAATGTTTTTATGCAATTGTCTATATTAGGCTGTTAGATCAGGGTTTACTTTTATGTCCTTTCACATTTCTGTTTTTATGAGTTGAAAATTAACCATTTTTATTTTATTTCAGAGTTGATTGAAGAAAGCAGGAAGATTAAAGAGTTGAGTGAAGTTGAGGAGAAAAATCATATTCACATGAGAGTTCATACAGGAGAAAAGCCATTCACTTGTGATCAATGTGGAAAGAGTTTCTCACACTCAGCAAACCTTAAGGATCACATGAACATCCACACTGGAGAGAAGCTTCATGCATGTGATCAATGCAGAAAAATGTTTTTGTGGCCTTCAGACCTGAAGAAACACCTGAGAGTTCATACAAAGGAGAAACCACATTCATGTTATTTGTGTGGAAAGAGTTTTTCATGTCTGCAAAATTTGAAAGAACATCAGAAAATACATACTGGTGTGAGAGACTACATGTGCTTTGAGTGTGAAAAGACTTTTATTTCAGTGAACTGTTTAAAACAGCACCAGAGAATTCATACTGGAGAGAAGCCATACAAGTGTGCACACTGTGACAAGAGATTCAGTCAGTCAGGACATCTGAAAACACACCAGAGGATTCATACTGGAGAGAAACCTTATGAGTGTTCACAATGTGACAAGAAATTCAGTCACTCGGGACATCTGAAAACACATGAGAGGATCCACACTGGAGAGAAACCTTATAAATGTTCACAATGTGACAAGAGATTCAGTCACTCAGGACATCTGAAAACACACCAGAGGATTCATACTGGAGAGAAACCTTATAAATGTTCACAATGTGACAAGAGATTCAGTCACTCAGGACATCTGAAAACACACCAGAGGATTCATACTGGAGAGAAACCTTATAAATGCTCACACTGTGACAAGAGATTTAGTCAGACTGGAGACCTGAAAACACATGAGAGGATCCACACTGGAGAGAAACCGTACACATGTGGTCAGTGCGGGAAAAGTTTCACACAAAAAGGAAACCTCATGCAGCATATGAGAGTCCATACTGGAGAGAAGTCATTCACTTGTGATCAATGTGGGAAAGGTTTCACAAAATCATCAAGCCTTAAGGTACACATGAACATTCACACTGAAGAGAAGCTGTACACATGTGATCAATGTGACAAAACATTTTTGAGGGCTTCAGACCTGAAGAAACACTTGAAAGTTCATACAAAGGAGAAGCCACATTCATGTTATTTGTGTGGAAAGAGTTTTTCGTTTCTTCAAAATTTGAAAGAACATCAGAAAATACATACTGGTGTGAAAGAGTACATGTGCTTTGAGTGTGAAAAGACTTTTATTTCAGCAAATTGTTTAAAACTGCATGAGAGGATTCACTCTGGAGAGAAACCTTATTTGTGTTCACATTGTGACAAGAGATTCAGTCAGTCAACACATCTGAAAATACATGAGAGGATCCATACTGGAGAGAAACCGTACGAGTGTTCTCACTGTGACAAGGGATTCAGTCGGTCAGGAATCCTGAAAAAACATGAGCGGATCCACACTGGAGAGAAACCGTACAAGTGTTCTCACTGTGACAAGAGATTCAATGATTCAGGACACCTGAAAAGACACCAGAGGATCCACACTGGAGAGAAACCGTACAAGTGTTCTCACTGTGACAAGAGATTCAATGATTCAGGACACCTGAAAAGACACCAGAGGATCCACACTGGAGAGAAACCGTACAAGTGTTCTCACTGTGACAAGAGATTCAATGATTCAGGACACCTGAAAAGACACCAGAGGATCCACACTGGAGAGAAACCGTATCACTGCACTGCATGTGGGAAGCATTTCAAACATTCATCTGCTTTACACAATCATACAAAAAACAATCATAGTAAGTAGAGCATCTTCAGATCAGCACTTTCAGGTCTGATGCTGCATCCTCACACAAATGAGACACAATAATGCATCAAGTAGGGCTGGTCCGAATACCATTTTTTGAGCTTCGAAGCTTTGGTAGTAATCAACACCGAATATTCGAAGCTTCGGAGGGAGGGGGCTGAACATATTCTTCTCTATAATAAAGACAGGAATCTCTGTTTGTCTGTTTGCATTTTTATTGTGTTGAGAACCGTTCATCCAATCGACTTCCCGCATGGCGGGTGTGTTGCTGCGGACCCAAGGGAGTACAGTGTCACATTTTGGTGCAATATGGACAGGCGACACATTCAGAATTAATAAACGTTAAATAAACTACAGAACGGCGCGCCTCACGCGTACAGGGCTTATATGCTTCGAGAACGGACACTGCACTAGTGATACAAAACACACAGGTCTGTTAAGAGCAATACTTTTAATATAGACAAATTATTAATAGGGTGGGCTACTGTACGTTTTTTTTTTATGACTGCCGTATTCGCAAGTATTTTCCAAGCAAATTAAATGCATGGTTTTATCATGTGTAAAATTACTGATTAATATGGCGGATAAAAGCAGCTCGTTTTTTTACAGCAATGAGATGGAAACTTTTTATAGGTAAGAAATTGCACATTCAGGAGCTGGTTTTCAACCCCCGCCCCGTGAATTTTGAAAATGCAACAATTAAAAGCTACATATACTGTATTTCTCAGCAATGAGGTGATAACTTAGCTGTTTTTGTAATTAAACCGACAAGCTTGTTTGCAATGCTTCACAATCACTCACTCGCACGTGGGTGCATGCGTTTATTCGTTTGCTCTCTCTCTCTCTCTCCCTAATTCAAATTAATTTCAATAAATATCATCTTTATTTCACTAAAGAATTCTACCTCTAATGAGCTGTAGATAAAATAGTCTAACAAATTTAAATTACCGTTATTTTCCGGTCTTTATCCGTTCAGTCAGATTTTGTGCTACAAAACATCCATGACAGCCGTTGTCCATGCTGGCAAATAATAATGGCCATTCGACGTGAATTATATAAATAATTTTAACGGCCATTTAAAACCCGAGGGTCTACCATGTGCATAGTAAAGCGATCACTGCAGACAATCCTTTAGGGTGGGAATAAATGTAAGCACAGATATCGGATACCAGTCGTGTCTATAGTGAATGTAAACAGACGTGCCAAAAAATCGGATATGGTCAAAAGATCGGATCTGTGCATTAAGACTTGCAGTGTAAACGCAGCCAGAGTGTCCTCCGCACCTTGGAGTTCCATTGAGTAGCAGCCTCAGGTTGTTAGGCCTCTCTCTGCCTCCCTGTTAGGCTGCTCTCTTTGTTGGTGAGTTTAACAGTGCTCCCCTCACTTTAGAGGGTCACCTATGAGCAAGCTGCTCCCAGATTGAGCATCTGAGTCCCCCTCCTATTTTGGAGTTGGGCCTCCGCTCCTTTGAGCTTCGATTAACAGTCATGACAGGTTGCTGGGCCATCTCCTGCCTCCCTGGCGGGTTGCTTGTTGAGTGAGCTAGCTGTGCTCCCCTCACCTTGGGGGTCTCTTGCAAGCACACCACTCACTTCTGAGCATCTGAGTTCCTCTCATTTGAGAGTCGAATCCTTCACTCTGTGGCTTCATTGGGTAGCACATCAGGACTCTTCTTTCCTCTTTGGCTACTCTCTCGGTGAGCTCAGCAGTGCTCCCCTCATCCTGGAGGGTTATTTACGAGCACGCTGGTTCCCAGTTGGGCACTGGTGTCCCCCTCTCGGTCTGAGAGCTGGGTGCCACGCCCCTTCTAGCTATGCATGAGTTGATGCTCCGGAGTCTGTCTGTGACTGTTATGGTTGAGTTGGCAATTCTCCCCTCTCATATAGGGTTTTTCTATGAGATACACCTTTCAATCCACATGCACTCTGAGCACGCAGCCTTCCGCTGAGTTAATTACCACTCCCTGGGTGTGCCACAGTCACGAAGGGTTCCCAGGCCTGTCTAAGTGACAGTTTTGGTTATGCCTTAGTAACGGTATTTCTAAATCCACCTTGTTTTCACCTTGGGCTCCACTCAATCCATGTATCCCTGTTGATACATTTCTGAGCAGGGTGTTGCTACCAAAGATCTGTTGAGTCAGTTCTTTGAACAAGCTCATTCAGAGCTGGTAGTAGCCCCCTGGGTGACAGGCCAGGGTCTGTTTTTTTTTAGACACCTGGCCGTATCCTCTGAAAGGAATCTCTTTTTTCTGATTCCAAGCCTTTGAGCTCTGCCCTAGGCTCGGGCTCCTCAGCCCAGCCCTTATCAGGTAAGTTGTTTAGGGTATGCAACTCAGGCCCTTGGCCGGTGGGGATAATGTCACTGACAGCCGTCAAGGCTTCCTAGGGGCAACTCCCATGGCTATGGTAGAGTTGTTACTTGGTGCACTCCCCTCAGCATGACAGTGTGGGTATACCGTTCCCCATAGCAACCCTTAGAGGACTAAGTTCAATGTTCCCTCGGAAGGGAACGTCTCAGGTTACGTATGTAACCATGGTTCCCTGAGAAGGGAACGAGACACTGTGTCCTCTAGTTCCCTTACCATGCTTTGGACGTAAGCTTCAGACGAAGAAGTAGATGATGTGTTCTCTCGATGCCCTTTTATGCTGTGTTGCGCCGGGTAATGACGTCATAGGCTGTGCCGGCCAATGATATTGTCGTTTTTAGATGTTTGCTTCAGACACCGGTCACACTGAATGTGTTCCCCCATAACGACACCTAGAGGACGCAGTGTCTCCTTCCCTTCTCAGGGAACCATAGTTACATAAACGATTTGTGCCTATAATGTTTTTATGCAATTGTCTATATTAGGCTGTTACATCAGGGTTTACTTTTATGTCCTTTCACATTTCTGTTTTTATGAGTTGAAAATTAACCATTTTTATTTTATTTCAGTTATTTGTGTGGAAAGAGTTTTTCGTTTCTTCAAAATTTGAAAGAACATCAGAAAATACATACTGGTGTGAAAGAGTACATGTGCTTTGAGTGTGAAAAGACTTTTATTTCAGCAAATTGTTTAAAACTGCATGAGAGGATTCACTCTGGAGAGAAACCTTATTTGTGTTCACATTGTGACAAGAGATTCAGTCAGTCAACACATCTGAAAATACATGAGAGGATCCATACTGGAGAGAAACCGTATGAGTGTTCTCACTGTGACAAGGGATTCAGTCGGTCAGGAATCCTGAAAAAACATGAGCGGATCCACACTGGAGAGAAACCGTACAAGTGTTCTCACTGTGACAAGAGATTCAATGATTCAGGACACCTGAAAAGACACCAGAGGATCCACACTGGAGAGAAACCGTATCACTGCACTGCATGTGGGAAGCATTTCAAACATTCATCTGCTTTACACAATCATACAAAAAACAATCATAGTAAGTAGATCATCTTCAGATCAGCACTTTCAGGTCTGATGCTGCATCCTCACACAAATGAGACACAATAATGCATCAAGTAGGGCTGGTCCGAATACCATTTTTTGAGCTTCGAAGCTTTGGTAGTAATCAACACCGAATATTCGAAGCTTCGGAGGGAGGGGGCTGAACATATTCTTCTCTATAATAAAGACAGGAATCTCTGTTTGTCTGTTTGCATTTTTATTGTGTTGAGAACCGTTCATCCAATCGACTTCCCGCATGGCGGGTGTGTTGCTGCGGACCCAAGGGAGTACAGTGTCACATTTTGGTGCAATATGGACAGGCGACACATTCAGAATTAATAAACGTTAAATAAACTACAGAACGGCGCGAGCCGGAAGCGGCGCGCCTCACGCGTACAGGGCTTATATGCTTCGAGAACGGACACTGCACTAGTGATACAAAACACACAGGTCTGTTAAGAGCAATACTTTTAATATAGACAAATTATTAATAGGGTGGGCTACTGTACGTTTTTTTTTTATGACTGCCGTATTCGCAAGTATTTTCCAAGCAAATTAAATGCATGGTTTTATCATGTGTAAAATTACTGATTAATATGGCGGATAAAAGCAGCTCGTTTTTTTACAGCAAAAATATACTATAGGCGTACACAGAACTCAGGTGATTTTTCAAACTTGTTTTCTTTATTTTATAAAAGCATGTTTTGTTGATATTGTGAGTGTACACAAATACATGTATACCCTTTACAGATCCGAATGATGTATTACTCTTATGAGCAAAAACGATGGCGTATCCACTGAAAAAAATGCAAGTGATCGCGCTGGTGCCTCCATGTCCTGCAGAGCGTGCTTTAGCTTCCACTCTCCACACAAACTTGGCAATAGCGCACATTTATTATAGTGCAGGTTTAACGTTTAAACATTGTTATATGCTTGAACTGTTTTAGTATATCTAGATTTTATTTTAAGCCCAGGATACACTGCATGATTTTTGGCTGGACCAGACAAAAGATTGCCATCGTGAAGCAATCGTGGCGATTTCTGTGATCGTGGCTCTTAATCGGTGGTCCTATGTCGTACAGAGAGAGAGGTTCAAAGACGGGCGTTTTCCCCGTCTTGCGACCAAAGATAGCCTACGATAGTTTTCTGACAGTGTCAGAAATACAGCATGATCAACACACTGTGTTTGCTGCAACAACCTGCATCTACTCAGCAGCCAATGAAATTGCAACATGAAATGATGTATTGATCCACGCAACCAGCAGTGCTACATTTTCAATGCCATGGAGGCAAAAACAATGTGTACGATGTGTCCTCTAGCTGCTATCATGACTGCACCAAAATGGACATAGCATGGAAGGAGATAGCAGAGGAACTGCAGCTGCCAAGCTTCCTGTGCAAAACTGGCATCCCAAGTTGTCCTCTTTTCCCGAGCCATGAGCGGGTCCATATTACCCTCTTCCGCCGGCGCCTCTTCTTTGTTTCAGCGCACATGAAAAGCACAACTGCCAAAGCGCGATCCATCTTGATGTACCGGTATTTGTTTACCATTACCGCATGCTGATGACGTTGCGCTAATGTGTGTCGCAGCCTACGATTCAATAAGCGTCATCATCGTACAGTCTACATGCTTGTCGTACCCAAGTTTAAACGATCCATGTCGCACAGTGTGATAAAGTAATGATCTTATAGGATTGCTAAAACCGTGCGGTGTATCCCGGGCTTAAGGCAAGTCGTGATGATTTGAGAAGGCTAAATTGATCAAACATAGGCGATCAGCTCACTGTCTGCTGCTAGCCGCTTGGTCATTACTTTAAAAAACAAAAACTTATATTTAACGAACTAAAATGCTCCAAACATTTTTCTAAATTGTTAATAAAAAAAGGGCTAGGGCCTATATTCGAGGTCCGTGCAGGGCTCTACTGCCTTTGTCTTGTCCTCGTTCAATTTAAAGTGCTCCCACACAGCTGAGGTCTTCAGCACTTTTGTCTTCTCTTCCAGATTAACTGAATCATGACGTTCACTCATGGGCGATTCATATTAAGTGCGAATGAGAACCGTTTTGCGTGGGATATTCAGGTGTTCGGGGAAAAATAGAATATTAGAATCTCAAAATTGAAAATCGAATGCCAACCCACCAAACGAATGATCGAATATTCTGGTCCAGCCCTAGCATCAAGCATTAAAATATCATCTGGATAAATCTGTCCTAACCAGTCATTACAAGTGACATGACAAAGAAACATTATCTAAAGTTTCAAAGTGAATAAAGTTCATCTTCAAAACCAGCAGATTCTACTGTGAGATTCAGATCAACTCAAAGATGGAGTTCCTCCCCAAAGAACAATGTCAAAATGTTTTATTCTTGTATATTATTTTGCTTCATGATATAAATGATATCATTGTGTTTTCTTATGAGTTTCATATTATGTTCAATTGTCTTATAATGCATATGCATCACTTGGTAGTTTGCTTGCTCTTTCATGAAGGAAAGTAGAAGCTTTTTACAAACTGTTCTTGTTCAGGAAGCTGAAGAAGAGGCTGTAACACTTTTAACAGAGACTGAGATGTATTTTTTATTTTGTTCTTCATTGTTTTTAAAATGACTGAATTATTCTTCCACTTATGATGTATTTAGAAAACGCAGATGCAAGATATCATGTAGCTTTGCAACTGATCCTTCTTTGCTTCTCGTCGCCAAACAAAACAAAACAATAGAAACCATCACAGAAGTTGTAACTGTTTTACTGGTTATAATGGGAATTGTATTGGCTTTAAAGAAAACTGTAATGGTCCATGTAGGTCTCAACTGGTAATTTGGTGCCTTTTATTGGTGGCTTATCGCTTGTTTCCACAGAGCTGTACAGTTCAATACAGTACAGTATGCAATTTTTTCCCAAATTGTGTTACCAAATTAGTGAATCGTACCATACCGTGCCACTTTTTTGGGACCCTTCCATTGGGTTACCTTGCACAGTAGTCTGGTACCTAAAGGGTGGAGCTAGACTGACCTGTAGAACGCAGGGGTTAAAGTAAAAAAAACAAGCCTGAGCCTGAACTTTTTTCCAGGGGTTGCGGGAGCAGACACATACACAGGGTTATTTGGCAAAAAATAAAAAAAACATTATTTGAAAATGATTTTCCTTGAAACTAACTAGTATCTGACATTGCCATTAGCCCTTGACAGGCTTAGACTACAGATTATGGAGGGATATTTGGAACAGCAATACCAAGAAAGTTTACTCACTATGGTGCAAACACATGTAACATTTAGGATGCTTTTGATATCAAGTTTTGCTGGTTAGCTTTGTCCTTGACGGGGTACAAGATGACCTACAATTTAAAACATGACATTTCTGAAATAGTTTTGTTCAAAAGAAATAATGGTAAATTAAATACTAGGAAATTAATATAAATTAGGAAATATAAAAAGACCATTTACTACAGAAAACTACAGTTCAGTTCAAATAACAACAACAAAAACATTAAAAGGGTCCAAGAACTGGTAACTTAAACTTAAAATTCAAGGACTTGCACTACTTTTTTGGTTTTCAAGGACTAAAATCAGATCTCACTTATCAATCAATATTGTTATTATCTTTCTAATTCTAATAAATAAACTAATAAAACTAAATGGTACAAATAAAGTGCGGCACATGCAAAGAATGCAATGACTGTGGCAACTTTAACATTTGAAAGGATACTATGGCAAAGTTATTGCTTTCCTTATTTAAACTGATTTTTTTTCCCATGAATATATGATTGACCTGAAGAATGATAAATCAATCATACACTTGGAAAATTATTAGCTTTATCATGCTCATAGACACTTGGGGTGTGACAATACACTTAGCTCACAAGGTGAGACAAAATGCATATACTTGGTTCACTAGAACAAGACAATGCTTTAATACTTTAAGAAATGTTCAAATGACAAAATATTTGTCTTTTAATCACAAAAAGTAAAACAATGCAGTTGTATTTTGAAATGTTTTAACTAATCTAGGGCTTAACTAATGATTATTTTGCTAATCAAGTAACCTACTGATTATTTTGACAAGTGAGTAATCTGATGTTTTTTAGTAATACAAATGGAACTAAGTGGAAAAACAGGCTTTAATATGACTATATTTATATAAAAAGTAACGACGAGGCAATAATAATTGGCCTCAAATAAAGTATCAAAACCAAGTACATGGTTTTATTGAACAACACAGTTAAACACATAATGTAATATGCCTATATTATAACAAATACCTGCAGAGGGCGCCAACGGCCTGGTGATGTTTCATGTATTTCAACGACGTTTAAATCCATTTAATTTTAATATTTGGCAACATGCAAAGTCAGAAACGTTTATTTTGAAATTGCGATGTACAATAAATTGCATATTTAGAAATATGTTGATGTATCCTCCTGTGTTGGCATAGGTTTAAATTAGAGATGCACCAATCGATCGGCCAGGGATCGGAATCGCCCGATTTTCCTCATGATCGGCCCGGATCGGTGATCGGTCGGTCAGTCTCACTTCTTTCCGATTCCGAGCCGATCCGTTTTGTTACCAGCGGCACAGGCAATAACGTCAGCCGCGCATTCTCACTCTCTTCTCTCGGACGACCCCTTCACTCACACACGTCTCATTCGCTCCGGTTAAATAGTGCTTGTATTGCAAATTATTTTAGTAATTCCCGCAGGTTTCGCACTTACACCAAAAGCGTGCGCACCATCACTGATCTATATTAGTGGTATATTATAGTCTCAAACAGCTTGTGAGCCACAAATACCAAAATGAGTGGCTAACTGCGCTAAAATGGTCAAATACATACAAAATTAGGTCAAAATGCCCGTCTTGGCGAGTATCCAGTTAAACACAGTCAGTTGTGGAACGTTAAATAGTTGAGAAAGATAACGCATGTTGTGTAACAGTATATTGGGTTCGTGAATAAATTGGGACCGCAGTCTGTCATGTTAATCAAAGAACAAAAGACAAAGAAAATCACTTTCTGCTCTTGACTGAATACGTTTTATAACTTTAATGGTAAGCATTAATCTGCATTTAATTTTTACAATGAAGACTACAGAAATTAAAGTAATCAACTTGTATTTGTAAAATGTATTTCTTACCTGAATAAAAACTTACTTAACCTGAAA